ACATTTTGACGAGGGACTATTTGGGCCTGTGCTGAACACTTGGTGTTGACGACATTCCCATCTTCCCTTCTTCTTCGTCTAACCCCACCTCCTTCGTCTGTGTATGGTTGGGGCTGGCGAGTCTTCTTGTGTGAAGCGCCAGACCCCTTCACACCATGATGATGATGATGTATGTTCGGGGCTGCATTACAATATTGATTGTTCGGATCATTGGTATCTAAGTCTTCCGCTGTGCTATTTTATACCTTGTATTGAAAGGTCGGTTCTTGTTCTGGTCTGCACCTATACGGTATGCAACTACCCAACCGGCCAACCAAGCATCACATAGAGGTGCTGCCTGGAGCGGTCCCTCCCAAGGGCCGCATCTAGAGGATGTCCCCTGTTGAGCTTGAGGAGCTCAGAAAGCAACTTGAGACCCTGACCAGCAAAGGCTGGGTCAGACCCAACACATCTGAATTCGGTGCACCTGTTCTCTTTGTGCCCAAAGGGAATGGCGAGTTCAGGATGTGCATTGACTACAGGGGTCTCAACAAGATTACTAGGAAGAGCACTGAGCCACTTCCTAGGATCAATGACCTTCTGGATATGGTGCAGGGCTGCACAGTGTTAAGCAAAGTCGACCTCCAACTTGGCTACCACCAGATTGATATGGCAGAGGAGGATGTCTACAAGACAACCTTCAAGACCAGGTATGGTACTTAGGAGTTCCTGGTCATGCCATTTGGACTTTGCAACGCCCCAGGCACCTTCCAGACAGAGATGCACCGAATCTTCAGGCCTTACCTGGACAAGTTTATGGTTGTCTACCTGGATGACATCCTGGTATTCAGCAAAACTGCCAGGGAACATGCGGATCACCTGACTCTAGTCCTTCAGTCGTTACGTGACAGCCAGTATAAGATCAACAGAGAGAAGTCCTCTTTTGGAGTTCCCTCTGTCATCTATCTGGGTCATGTAAGCTCTGGAGATGGCCTGGCTCCTGAAGCAACCAAGATTGCTGCTATTCAGGAGTGGCCTCAACCTCAGACAGTGAGGGATGTCAGGTCCTTCATGGGTTTAGCCTCTTACTACAGAAAGTTTGTGAGGAACTTTTGTGCAGTGGCTGCACCCCTGACTAACCTAACAAAGAAGGACACTCCCTTTTTTTGGTCCCTCCACTGTCAGTTGGCCTTCACACGACTCAAGAAGGCCTTGACTCGTGCGCCTGTCCTGAAGCTACCTGACCCCACTTTGCCATTCATCCTGACCACTGACGCCAGTCAGTATGGCATTGGGGCAGTACTTCAGCAGGATGATGGGAATGGTCTACGGCCTGTAGAGTTCATGAGTAAGAAGATCAAGACTCAAAAGCTCCAGGACTCTACCTACGAGAAAGAGTTGTATGCTCTTGTCTGTGCCCTGAAACATTGGAAGCACTTTCTCCTGGGCAGGCACTTCAAAATCTTTTCTGATCACTCCACCCTGCAGTGGATGAAGTCCCAGGGAGAGTTAAATGACAAATTGGCACGGTACATTCAGTTCATAGACATGTTTGACTTTGAACTGAAACACAAGAAGGGCTGCTACAACAAGGTAGCAGATGCCCTCTTTCGAAGGCCTGACTCTTTTGCGCTGATCTCCTCTACTCACTCCTTTGGAGAGGAGACCCGTCAGACCATGGCTCGTCTACTGCCTCAGGACGATACTTTCGGACCCATTGTCAGGAATCTGCAAGCAAATCCTAACTCTGAACCAGGCTATGCTCTGAGTTCAAACCTGCTGTACACTTACAGTAGAGGTGAGGAGCGCTTGTGCATTCCCCAGGACCAGCGGCTCAGGACACTGCTGATGTCAGAGTGTCATGATGCGCGTGGACACTTCGGGTTCCTGAAGTCTTATGCAGCCCTGTCGCAGCGCTACTTCTGGAAGGAGATGCGGAGTGAGATGCTGCGTTATATGGACACCTGTGAGCTTTGCTAAAGGAACAAGATTCAGTGTAAACCTCATTTGGGACTGCTCAAACCCTTACCCATACCTGATGGCCCTGCTGAATCTGTGTCGATAGACTTCACAGATTTAGGCAAGACCACCCCTCGTGGCATGCGTCAGGTTATGGTCTGCGTGGACAGGTTCTCCAAATACGCAGAGTTCATCCCCTTGCCAGAGATAGCTTGGGTACCGGCTGTGAGAACAGCCTTCTCTGAGAGGTGGGTCACACACCATGGACCGCCCACCTCTATAGTCAGTGATCGAGACCCCAGATCTTGCAGCGATGAGTGGTAGTCCTACTGTAAGGACTACCTGCACTCACGCCTGGATATGACGTCGGGTCACCATCCTGAAGACAATGGATTGGCTGAGGTGATGAACCAAGTCTTATTCCAGCTACTGCGTCCTGTCATCTCTCCAGATCAACAGGACTGGGATCTTCACTTGGCGAGGGCACAACTCATGTATAACATGTCTGTCCACTCCTTGACAGGGTTCAGTCCATACCGGTTACACTGGGGACGTGAACCACGACAGCCTCTCGATGACATCATCGATAAGGCTAAGCCTGACCTGACACTAGGCACAACAGAGCTCGCCAGACGCTATCGTCTGGATGTGGAAAGAGCCCGCGCGAACTTGTTCAAGGCCCAAAAGGCCATGATTGAACAACCCAATCGCCACAGGCCGCCTTCCCCCATCTGTACTGGTGATCATGTCTGGGTGGCCAGTTCTGAGTTGTCGAGGGAGGAGGATATTTCTCCCAAGCTGTTGCCACGCTACTTGGGTCCGTGGCAGGTCCTAGATACAGTGGGCGCTGATCCCTTCGGTCCGTCGTATGTTATCGACGTCCCACTTCATCTACGTACCTATCCGGTCTTTCATGCATCCAAGTTGTTGCCTTTCACCCCAGCTGATGCATTTCCTAACCGGCCCCCTCAGTTCGGTCCACCAATCCCTGGTAAGGGATATGACATTGACTGGATTGAGGATGAGTGGGGCACAGGCCCCGATCGGCAGTATCTTGTCAGGTTCGCTTTCCAGCCACCTTCTGAGAGCCGTTGGTTCTACAGAAGAGACCTGATCAAGACAGAAAAGTCCATTGTCCTGCGATGCGAAGCGGCTCAGAAGGGTAACCTTCCTCGCCGTTCGCCTCGCCTGCATCCCTAGCTCGGAGGTCCTTGCTCCCTGGGAGGGTAAGCCTGCAATGACTTGCTGATTTCTGCTGCCGAGATTGACTGCGAGGCTGTATACTAACCGGTAGGTTAGTTTCGTAATTTTGTTTGGCTGAGGGCTAACCGAGAGACCCGCCTGTGAGGAAATTCGTGAGGGACAGATCTGCAAATCCGGGAAAATACAGGCCCGGTACTAACCCGAATTCCTACCGCTACCCTAACTGCCTATAGCAGGCCCGGGCTACCCTAGGACAGACAGGCCCTAAGCGGCCTATGCTGCTAGACGGTCCTATAGCCTATAGCCGGGTCTGGTAGAGGCCGAAAGGCCGACACAGCAACGGTACCGGTCGGTCAGTCAGTCCGGTCTAGGTCTAGGTTAGATTAGTGAGTCTATTAATAGTTTGGGAAAATCGGTTCAGGGCTTTTGGTCTTTCATTTTTCGCGTTGCAGCGTTCGGGGCCAACCAAGTTTTGCGGCGCTGAAGGTCTGAGGCCTGTCTCTTATACACATCTAGATGTGTATAAGAGACAGTAGTGAGTCTATTAATAGTTTGGGAAAATCGGTTCAGGGCTTTTGGTCTTTCATTTTTCGCGTTGCAGCGTTCGGGGCCAACCAAGTTTTGCGGCGCTGAAGGTCTGAGGCGGCATCCCAGACTTCAGCTCGGTGATGACAGCCATAGCCAGCCTCTGAGAGGTTGCCAGAGCTGGGGCACTCTCAGCGCATCTACCCCTGCGGGTATCTGTGTGTGGCAGGGCTATTCTGAGGCTCTTCGGAGGGTACTGGTGGATGCTGTTGCTGGCGCCCTACTTCGCAGGGCTTTTGTAGCAGCGAGGCAGCCATAGCTGCCTTCTTCCTCGTCAGAGTGACTCGTCGGCACTGAGGACTTCATCGCAGTTCATGATCTTCACCTTGGTGGATGGCGCTTGCCTCTGGGAGGCTGTTTCAGTGTGGCGCTGGTCTCTGAGAGTGGGGTATTGGGTGTAGTGTGTGGTTCTGAGGTGGCGAGATACTGAGTTGAACTCTGTAACGATAATTGGGGTTAATTGAGTTGAGTTGGCTCATCATCAGTGTTATATTCCGACTGTGATCTTCGCAGTGTCATCTTGTGATTGGTTGTTGGAAGTTTGTCAGAGAGAGAGAAACACTGTGTGTATTCTCCCCATCTGTGCATGGTTGACATTCCGTTGCTTATCTTTGGTCTGTGTACAGTGTGGACTCTGTCTCCTCTCCCCTTGTCTTGTGCATGTATGGGCATGTCTGAGATACTCTGTGTGTGAGTGGCGAGGAAATCGTCAGACAACCAAGTTCATAACAAATATATGCACAGAAACATCACCTGGACCACCACCTGGCCAAAACGTGGGAATCCAGTATCCAAAGTCTGAAAAAATCTGGCCCAGACCAGACAAAGCCTGAAACAGGCAACAATGCTCTGAAACAGAATCGTGTCCCCACAATAATCAGAGGATCCAAAAGAAAAAAAAAAAAAAAAAAAAAAAAAAAAAAAAAAAAAAAAAAAAAAAAACGAAAGAAACAAAAATTGAAAAAATAACAAAAAGACAGAACATGACTCCTTGCCTCCTAGGCCCGACCTGAGCCACCCACCACCAGGAAACTCTACCCAGGCGTTCAGGCACTCAACAATGAAGGGGGCATAGCCAATCCATAGCCGGGCTCTTTAGGGCCAGTGTAGCAACCCATGCATGGTACAATTTCTTTTCGGATGGAAATACATGAAAGTTGTCTGACAAGGGTGCAGAGGGGTTGGGGGAATGGGGAGGCTGATAAACTGATGATGGTGGAAATGAACTTTAACAAGGGTATAGGTTGGATGATTGATAAGCCAGACAGTCATTTCATCTCTTGAAAGGAAGCCAATTAATTGCACATTGGAACGTTGGCAGCTTTTCATATTAGTAGATATTGATTTCAGCTGTTGATATTAGTGTTTTAGATAAATGACTCTGGATTCAGTTGCTCCCGACCAGTGTAGAGCACTAGAATCCGTAAGTGGACAAGGAGGCTTGACATGCTCAGAAGTAGTGAGGCTGGACTTGAATGTTTGATCCCCTCTTGTTTGCCTCTTGTTTGCCGACATTCCTCCATCATGTGGTGTGCAGGAGCAGGTCCATCAAGGGGGCTGCCTATCACCTCCTAAAGTAGACAACCACTTGCCACCGGAAAAATCAAATGATAGTTTGTCAGCTTGGCATGTTGTCTTGTCATCGGTGATTCTGCAAGTTGATTCAGGCAGAATCAACTGGCATGAGTCTATCACAGGCAAACCACTTGCCACCTCCTATGTTGGTTGTCTATCAATCAGAGGCTACAACTACTCTGCAGATTCAGGCAAAAGTTGCAATGATCCGGTTTTCTGTGACAGCATCAGTCCCACATTTCTCCTGGCTGATGCTGAATATGAACAGAAAGCATGTTCATCATAGCTGTATTCAGGGCCAGGTAGCTTTAGTAACCATGCCTTCTATTTGGGGGAATGATGGTAGCACGGCTGGTAGTGAAAAGCATGGCATATATGCCTTTCCAAATGGGGGGGATTTGGGAACTTAAAGCCATGTATGCAATCAGAATCGCTCGCAATCACACTTCGCATGCATACAAACAGGTGTGCAGCAAACTGGCGACAAGCGCCCACTCAAACTCAGAGATATGCTAGCCGAGAACACAGTTCAGATACAAGTTCACTTCATTGGCTATGGCGACACAGCGCCCACACATCTCTGTTCACACACACACAGGATCACCCTGGATATCCCACACGCGATACACTGTACACACACACACACACACACTGAACTCTATCCACAACTATGGCGGCTATGGCCGCTGCTAACCTATCGCTATGGCTAAGCTTCTTCTCTCTCGCCCACTTCGTCTTCGGGCTCACTGCAGACCACCTCGCACAAGTCGCTGTGGCAGTGCTTCCGCATGGCTCACGCAGGAAATGAATGAATGGCTGGACGCTAACCTTTGATTTATACTTCTGTAGCTCGCTGGTCTGGCCCTTCCCCATGCCCGTGGTGCACACAGTCCCATGCTGTACTTGCTTGACTGTACTAGGACTGACTGGGACCGATATCGCTGACTGCATGGGTTTGCACTATGAACTCAATGCAGTCGCTCTGTCGACGTACTGCAGTTGGGCTCACCACTTGCCCACTTGCCTACTTGCCCACTTGCCCACTTGCCTCAGTCTAAACGTGAGCAACTTCGAAATGCCACTGCTAGGACCTTCCGGAAGGCCGTGGACGTGGCCTTTCGATACTGTAGCAGCTACGACCTTGACCTTTCGGAGAAGCTATAGCTACGACTTCTAGACTTTGCTACGACTCCTACTCGACAGGTCTACAGCCCCTGCTACATACAGACCCTACGACAGTCTACCAACTGTTACAAATACACAAGTCACGGGTTCAACTCTTGGGGTCGACACAGATACTGTACATAGGTAGGGTGAGGTCTAGGGATCGAGCCCTGGGATCTGCATCGGCTACTGCGAACTGGTGAATACCGTTTCATGTACAAATGGTGCAAGGAATACTTGGAAGGTGAAACTGAAACAAAAGCAGGATACGCATGGGCTTTATTGGCTGTTGAGCTCACTGCAAGGATTTTAAGCCCTCAGCATACCTGCATGTGGCCGCTACGGCAAGCATGTGCCCTCCCTAAGTGAAGGCGGGCCTCCGGATCTCAATGAGGCCTGAATTTGTCAATGTTGCAAAGTCTCGGTGGCGCCAGACAGTTTCCACGCGCCAGTTGGTTACATCCGCCCTGCTCGTGAAAATCAGAAACATTCGGGATCCTTGTAGGCTCTTCTGACAATGTAGTGACAGCAGGAAACACCTCACGTTCGCACTTGGGTGGTTGGGCAGGCCTAACCAATTTGGTCCCTGGCCACTGCCAGAATGGGCCTAGAGGGCGCACATGCATCCCTCCCAAGGCAGCAAAGAGCCTGGCTGCTTTCCATATAGGAAAGAGTCGAGCCGAGGTCAAGGTATTCTTGCACTTGTTGTGCGAGCGGCAGTGCTGCTTGAGTGATTGTTTGTGCCTGCTAGCTAGCGCCGGGTAGCTACGGCGCGTGCACGGGTGTAGGATAAAGGCACGATTTCGAGCGCACGGTCCCTTGTGAAGGGGGACCTTCCCAGTCGCGTCATGCAGGATTGGCAGATTCACAAGTCGCTTCACAAAAAGGGAAGCAGCGGAGCCGCTCCGACCGAGTGCGCCAACTATACCTCCATGGAGTCCCTACGACAGGATAGGGTCTCGCGAGGTACAACTTACCTCCACCCGCGGGGGCTGTCACCATCCCTTGGGTGGGCGTATCCTCGCCGAGCTACTAAACAACATGCGGAAGTTTTACGTGCAATCCGGGAGGTGGCCCAACCGAGGGCATTTCTCGTACGCTGTAGCATAGGGGTTACGAGGGGTCCACGCCTAGCTCAGACCCGTACGTGAACCGTCGTGCGGAGCTCTGATCTCCCACGTGCGATTTAGCGTCGGTCGACTAGAACATCCTAACTCAACCATGAGATACGCAACAAAAATAATAAAACTAGCTCAAACAACCATGTAAGCCTAGTCCCTTTCCAAACGTTCTAACCCATAACTCAGAAGAAGCTAAAGTGTTTGAGCGAGGCCCGCAATAAGTTGCAAAAAAAGAATGCGCACGCAAAGGGGACCATAACGCTCAGTCATGTGTTTTCACTTGATGTGCTATCATGGCGACACTTCATGAGTTACCCACAACCGCGCAACCTCTCATGGGTTTCAGGGTTGCGTACGGTACTTAAGTGTCGAAAGTGAAATATCGTGAAGGGACCCTCTTGTCTTATAGGCAGTGGGTGACGATAGGCAAGGGGCGTAGATCCGGCTTATGGGGGAAACCCTTTTGTGCTGGACCAGAGCCTGGGATGCCCTGGACAAGGACCTCTTATTCCCGGATCAGGATCAACGTCTGACCCATGGTCTAAAAAGCAAAGCCCTTTTAAGATGGGTTCGCTCGTTTTTCCCCTATGGAAAGATAATAAGGGGTAGCCTCGGGTTAGCGAGCAATTCGCCTTACCCGAACTGAGGCTTAGTCCCGTTGAAGGTCGAGCGTTGAACTTTGCGCTCGACCACTCCTGCCTTTTTGCTAAATGCGTGCGGCAAGACGAAGTGAAAATGAACCCTCGCTCATGTAGATTCTTGCACACACATGAAGCTCAATGAAAATCCATACGCAAGTGCCACAAACGCGGTCAACCTCTTTGTTCCTAGGTTTATGTCCCACACGCCACTTTCCGACCCGCACTCAACAAAGGCATACCCGCCCGATCCAATTCACACAGTTTTTGCGCGACCATTCAAGAGAGGTTCAAGGATAGGAATTTCATTCACACGGAGATGCCTTTCGCCTACGGGGTCACAAACATATGGACGTGGGTATCATGATGGGTAGGAAATGAGTCGCAAACCGACCTGCTATCAATTCGATAGCAGAAGTTGATGAAGCTCAAGGTCTATGAGAGCACTCGCAGGTAACGGTGACCTGCGTCACAAAATCAAGGCAGGCACCGCTTGTCGAGTTAACGGAGTTCAACTTCGTACCGCACTCTAAACTACATAATAGTAACGTCCGGTAACGATTGTGCCTTTAGGGAACTGTGCTCGAAGAATATTTACTAGACGAAATCTAAAAAGAAAACTCTTTGGTTTCAGTAGAAATTTCGAGAACTATCTGAAAATAAACTAACTCGTTGGTTTCAGTAGAAATTCCGGTAGCACTTCCTTTAGAAAGGAAGGCATCCAAAATTCCTACTGACTCCAAAGACTAAACTAATCCTAGCCTAGTTGACATCTCAAAATTTTGACTAGCAAAAATTTTGGCTTCATCTCCCTGAAGGGAAAGACGCTCCCATAATTTCTACTAACTCGGAGGTTAGCCAAGGTCTTACTAGAGCTTTGCATGACCATTCAAGAGAGGTTCAAGGATAGGAATTTCATTCACACGGAGATGCTTTTCGCCTACGGGGTCCCAAACATTTGGACGTGGGTATCATGATGGGTAGGAAATGAGTCGCAAACCGACCTGCTATCAATTCGATAACAGAAATTCATGAAGCTCAAGGTCTCTGAGAGCACTCGCCGGTAATGGTGACCTGCGTCACAAAATCAAGGCAGGCACCGCCTATCGAGGTAACGGAGTTCAACTTCCTACCGCACTCTAGACTACATAATAGCAACGTCCGGTAACGATATGAAAATCACAAAAAATTCGGAAACATTTCCTTTAGGGAACTGTGCTCGAAGAATATTCACTAGACGAAATCTAAA